CCCCCCCCCCCCCCCGACCGCAAACGCGGGCCCCCAAAACTGATGCCGTAAATTGGCAGGATTTACTGCCCTCCTTCGTCGCGAAATCGACAGAACGGAGCTACTACGGACTACGGCAAGGGATTCGTTTTACGACTAGCTACCCCCAACCCGCACAGATCTATCCGAAGACAGATCGCTCACGATGACGAACTAGTCTCTAATCATGAGATGCAAGGCTGCCGGCCACAGCCGCTGCGCCCGGAGCGGCAGCCGAACTGGCGGCGGCGGCGGCGGCGGCGGCTGGTGGTGAGTATGAGGTCGGCACAGCGGCGTCGGTGTTGGCCGGGGACCTGGCCGGTCTCTTAGCCGGAGGAGGATCGGACGCCACCTTACTCGGTGATCCTCCTCCCTCCTCCGCCGCCGCTGCTCCTCCTGCCGATGCTTGCGCCTTGCCGACCTCAACACCATCATCCCTAGCGCGTTTCGTGCGCGAAGCAGCAGCGGCGGCGGCGCCCGGCGACTTGCCCCCGACTTGCTGTTGCTGTTGTCCCTCCTCCTCCCCGGACGGGGTCGAGCGGCCACTACGCTTACCGCCGCCGCCGCCGCCCTCTAGCTCTGCCCGCCTGGGCGAGGCTCGGGATGATGATGCCGTGCGCGCGGCGGCGGCGGCCACAGCGCCGCTTCCTCGCTTGTGCATGTTGTCCATGGCCTCGACGTTGGCCAGAGCCGCGCACAGGCGGTGCAGGCCCCCGTCGCCTGCGCCCGCGCACTCCATCTTGCCGCCGCTGCCCGCCGGGCGCTCGTCGCCTCCGCCACCGCCTCCGCCGCCGTCGCCGGAAGCGAAAGGATACCGGCGCGACGGCGAGGCCCGCGCACCTTCCGGCGCCGCCACCCCCTTGACGGAGGGGACCATCCCCGAACCAGTACCGGCGGACGCGGCAGCGGCAGCAGCGGCCACCAAACCGGAACCGGTCAAGGGGGCCCGGTCGTCGAACGACGACGCTTCGCCGCCGACAACCTTCTGTGACCACTGCTGGCGGCCGCTCTTTCCTTCTCCCCCTTCTCTCCCGCCCCCGCAGCAGCTGCCCGCTACCGCCTGTCCCGATTCTTGTTGAAAACCCGCGCCGACCCCGACGCCCGGGGGCCGGTCTATTCTCCCCAAAGACGCGCAGGTCGCGGCGGCGCCCGCGGCGGCGTCGTTGATCGGGTAGCCTGGAGAGGAGGAGGTTGCCGCGCTGGCGGCGGCAAAGGCGGCGGGATACGATAGAGAGCGCCGTGCATGCCCCGCGTGGATATCCCCCGCCTCCGCCGGGGTTAGGTTCGGCTTGATGTTCGCCAACGACGACGACGGCGGCAAGCTTGAATATCTCATCGACATCCCTCCCGGTCCTGCCACGCCGGACGCCGCCGCCGGTGTATCCATCGCCGCCCGAGCACCGCCGCCCCCGCCTTTTTGCCTCCGAGATGCGGCTTCAGAGGACGAGGAACCGCCGCCTCCATTGGCAGCGGCAGCGGAAGACGAGGAAGAGGAGGAGGAAGACGACGTCGACGATGCTCGAGCGAAAGTCTTCCCTCCGCCGCCGCCGCCTCCAGGTCCGACCATCATACCCCCCCTCACCGTTTCTCGTTCATCCACGGCGCCCCTGCCGCCGGCGTCGGACGACGACGATGACGACGACAGCGGGCCGTTAGAGGCGCCGGCGGCGGGACGGGGCAGCAACCGGTGGCCGGTTGGGGCGGCGGGAGAAGCCGCCGCCGCCGCGGCTTTGTTCCGCGCGTCCCGCTGGCGCCGGTTCAGGGCCTTCCAGCGGATCTTGACAGCGTTTTCCGTCCTCCCCGTCAACCGTTTCGCGATGTCTGCCCACCGGTTTCCGACCTCCCCCTGGGGGTCAAGTTTGCGCAGAGGAAGCGGACACAGGGGAGAAACGGGCCGACAAAACGGACGTCCTTCAGCTTGCATTTTGTTCTCGGTCCTATGGCCACGCGGGTCACTCATCGCCGGCAACCACTAATCGGGAACAAAGAGGGCAGAATCGTTCCGAGGTACCCTGTATGTTCCCCATACGAGCCAGCATGGTACTCCTGGCGGGCGAAAACACGGTTGTTCGCACAAACTCCCCCTCCCGCCCCTCGGCAATCTTGACGACAAAAAACAAAACAAAACAGGCAGGCACAGCTCCCCCCCCCTCCCCCCCGGTGTTTGCCATAGGGGTTGGGTTTTCGTCGCTTGGCAACGACGTTGTAAAACAAGCCAATTCACTTCGTGAACTCGGCAACCAGGTTACCGTTTTTTGTCTTCTACCTCTGTTCTTTTTTGGCGGTAACCATAATGGTGGTCGAGTAGATCATGCTGTGCGGGGTGCAGAATCCTCACTCCGCGCAAGGGGGATGATCGTACCACGTGGTGTTGAAATGGTCAAGCATCCTCGAGGCAGTTACACAGTACTTACAACTGTCTCGAAGTGAAAGCATCAGAAAATAAATTAAGTCATACGCAGCTGTCATCCGTACGCAAGGAAGTAAGCACAAGATG